TGTCACTATCACACACACACACACACACACACACACACAAATATATATATATATATATATATATATATATATATATATATATATATATATATATATATATATATAGTTTGGTGGATATGAACATGTGATCCTGCTTTTCGGGCATTTGTATCATCACTCAAAGTGTTTTTTTTTTAAATTGTATCTATTTTTGATTTAGTAATGGGAAGGAGAATTGATTTTTTTTCTTTAGGGTGACACTCTCATATGCATAGACACATATACATACAGGTGTACGCATTTATTTCACACAAACACATCCATATTAATAACCGAGGCTAGTCGCAGATACATATTCATGCGTTCGGGCATGTATACATACGTAGTTGTAATTCTATTTTGGTGTCGCGATCTTAGCTTTTATATATGTAGCGATGTTTCAACAAGGAGCGAGTAAGGTGTGTTCCTGACGCTTTTAAGATCTACCGCCATCGCCGTCAGAGAAATTTAAATTTCCTCACACGCACATACACACGTGTAGACGCGCATATTCACTCCTATTGCTCTAGCAGAGTTCTGCTTGTGGGCATTGTGATGATGATGATGATGATGTATGTATTTTCAACGCTAACTCTTTGTCTGTTGACGATTGTGATTATGTCGATAGTGATAATAATTATTATTAATATGTAAATAATAGATATTGATGTGATAACGGTTAATTTAGTCTTAATGATGATGAAAGCGGAAGTGTAAACAATTTGGCGGGAAGTAATTATGACAATCTTAATTATGATAATAGTTGTTTTAATCATAATCCTGTGATGGTGATAATAATACACATAATATAACAATAATAATGATGATGATAAAAACAATGACAGTATTAAAAATCAGTACTAATGATAGAGGAAATGCTTACGAAGTGATAGATCCTAAAGTTGTAGGAGTGATGGTAATATTCCTAGTTTTTTTCGGTCTGTATTGATTGTTATGTGGTCGTTGTGTTAAAGGTGTGTTGGTAGTATTGGTAACAATGCAGTTAGTGTTAATGATACGTGTTGCTGGTTAAGTTTTGGTGGCATTGGTGTTCTTCCGTTTTAGTGTTCTGACATTTTTTTCGGAAGTTTCATTCCTGGCTGTGTTCAGTTGTGTTGTAGGTGTTATCCGTTTGATATAAACTGTGATAAGAAATATTTATTTCCGTGTCTACATTTCCTCTACCATCCATTAAATCTAATATTCTCAGAAAATTACATAATACATGCAAAGCTAAACAGTAGCAACATCATTTGTGAATTCATAAGTCCTTTAACGAAATGTGTCTCTGATAACACTATACTCATGAATAAATACATTGGACATACCATTACATGTGTGTTAGGAAAAGTCCCCATACACCTTTCAGACCTAGCTCAAATAAGAGTCATTTAAACACAAATAGAAAAATAACAAAATTCATTTGCATCATACGGGGAGTAAATACTGGCACAATATCCTCATCCACATGTAAAAATCACAGATATTAATGGAAGCAAATATAATAAAAAAGAAAAAATACCAACGGTCGTTAAAATAAATAAAACATCCCAACTTTGCACAAAGATATGTAAAATACTAAAAACAGAGTAAAACATGTTGATAACGGCTAACAGAATAGCCGAAATCGCTCGGATATATAGAAAATTCAGACAATTTTACACACTTTATTTCCAGAAAAGAAATAATTTAATCGGACACAAGAAAATTGAATGAATAGCTTGTTAGATATCTTTAAAGAACTTGTGCGAAAGAGCGATTGCTGCCCAAATACACAATTATATATATATATATATATATATATATATATATATATATATATATATGTAGATCAATATATTTCTGTTCTGGCACGTGGCTAATCGAGAACATTCAATGTTCAATACATATAATTAGGCTAAACTATTTTACCACATATAAAAGTTTGCATAACTAAGCTCGGATTTTACCATTCAGTATATATTTATATGTTTCTGTAGTTATTCTCTATGTGCATATATATATATATATATATATATATATATATATATATATATATATACCCAAACAACCCCCACTCAGGTAGGTTTTGAATTCAGAGTTGCCCTTCTCCTAGACCAGTTGCCATCCAAAGCTATAGAACCCAGTCTGTCCTGCTATTTTACCCATAGCTGGAGGGAGAAGAAGAGGATTCATAACTTTCCCAAGGGTATTAGCACGTAAGTGAATGTAATGGATTCAACCTGGATTCGAACTCGGCTCTGCGATTCCTCAATCCAAGCTGATATCCATTACCCAACCGTGCCTCTGAATTCAAAACCTGAGAGGGGGATTGGGAAACTTGTGACACGTAGTTTACCAGGTCTCTGTATTTGTCCCTTCAAAAAGTGTGGATGGTCCTGCACGAAACCTTCACCACTATAATCGAATCTCATGTGCCGGTGTCGGGCTGTCAGTTTCTTTGAAACTGATCTGCTTGACCGACCCTCATACGTCGAAACCTACGGAAGAATCGATTATTTTATATATATATATATATATATATATATATATATATATATATGCGTGTGTGTGTGTGTGTTTGTGTATGTATGTGTGTGTATATATAAATCACACAAAAACGCGCGCTCACTCACACACACACACACACACACACATATATATATATATATACATACATGTCATATATATATATATATATATATATATATATATGTGCTCTCGTGTAGCGAGAGAGGCAGACAGATAGATTATGTGTTTATTCTTGTGTAAGTATCATAGCCGCTGTGTGCATATATATGCATTACTACACTAAAGTAGTAGTAATGAATTATAATATACATCTGTGTGCATCAAACTTCTAGGTAATGTACATGCATGAGAATTATAAACATTTATTGTATTCCGTGTATTATATATCAATTTTGTACTAACACCTACATTCGGCTAGAGACAATTCGATTGAAAAATAATGCACAATTAGTGTTCCAATTCAATAATTTACTTTTACTATCTTCCGAAAAATTTAAATGCAATGGATAAAAGTTTGAAATTCTATTTAATATTTGCTTATTTCTTTGCTTTTTTGTGACGGACTTTGATTGGGAATAATTTCTTTCTTTTGTATAATTGTTCTTTTAAATTACAGCTTTTGCTACTGCTATTCTGTAAATATTTTCTATTTTGCTTTTTAATTTGCAAGATTCACGTGTTTTGTCAACCGGTTGTTCACTCTGGCATCCAAATAATAGTTATTTGAGCAAATATGGCGTCAACGTTAAACCTCAAATTAAAAAGAATCTTTGAATCCCTGTGAAGTTCGTAGAAAATAGGAATTTCCTTAGAAATGTGAATTATTCTATTGGAAAAGAGTAACCTTACAAATTTCTTGACTGAATGCAATATCGTCTCTGTTTTCGAAGACAGTTAAAAACAATCAAAAACCCAGAATATATATAAGGATATTTTTTATGTTTATACAATCTTTATATAGATAAAACCTATAAGTAAATGCTCTGTTTATGATAAATAGTATTAACGACATTTACCGATCTTCATAGAAAATATGCGTCCTCCGACAGGAATCGAACCTGTCTCCTATACGGAACCGTCATATAGCCTGACGTGCTTTACCGATTGAGACACGGAGGAGTGTTTCGGTTAGCAAGGCAGATTTCACTGTTTTTAAAAAACAATTCTACATGATTTTCTCTCGTATATTCATATCGGCTCGATGCGTGTTCAAATGTAAACAAATGACGTCATCCATTATGAAAGTCTGGTAATTATTATAAAACAAAAATTTCCGAGAAAATTTCATAGAATATGCGTCCTCCACATCGAACCTATGTCATATACAGAAACTTCATATAGCTTGACATGCTTTCCCTATTGAGCCACATATGTTAATAGTTTAAAAACAGTACAATCTACCTTGCTAACCGAAAGGCTCCGCTGTGGCTCAATCCGTAAATCACGTCAGGCTATATGACGATTTCGTATAGGACATAGTTTTATAATAAACAGAGTATTTACTTAAATATTTGTATCTATAAAAAGAACATATAAACATGAAAAAATGTCTTAAATTAATTGTCGGACTTTGTCCATTTCAAAATGTATACACACCCACACACACCCACACACACATATATATATATATATGTTGCGTTGTTCGTGCTGAAAAAAATAAAGTATTTTGTTTTAGATACATTTTTATCTGCTTCATTACTAAATTATACATATGCACCAAACATAACGATTTTATAACTTACAACAAAATAATTTACTGATCATTTGTAAATTAGGAATTCAATGTTATTTTCGATTTTTCTTGAATTGTTTACTTTGGAATTCGGTCCGTTTATTAAAAGAGAGCATGGACAATGAGGAGGACTCGAAAGAATGTGTTTAAATGTTATCGATAGGCAACTATTTTTCCTAGTTTTCTCATTCGCTGTCTTATTATGAAATATGAATTATCCCAGAAATATATTTCCAAATTCAATATATCCTTAAACAATGATACAAAAACAGACGTGGAAAGGAGATTGTAAAGAAAAAAAATGTTCCTTACAATCTCCCATCACTCTCTTTAGGTTCATGGCCAACACACACTGAAATATTTAGTATTTTCTCCATTTTGATCATTGCTCAAACTATACCCTCCTCTTGACTACAACGTACAACATCGCCTGTTTTAATGAGGAAACATAAAATGGCTATAGTGCCAATTCTGAAACCTTTCATTTCACTACTAGTCTACGATTACTAATATTACTGACGTTGTCTTTCTCCTATCACACAAATATATAATAAAATATACAACTAGAGATATCAGGATCTCTTTTCTATGTCAAAGGGACGAATATGATTTAAGCGTCAGAATCAGATTCGTTCTGTCTCTAAAATTATCAAAATTTTTGCAGACAGACGGGAATGCAGTAAATTACAACGCCGTTCAACATATCAAACCATATTCTACTCATTCACATCATGTATTCTTTGAAACACCGGGTTTCCGTATGATCACCGAAGTTAAGCAACGTTGTGTCTGCTCAGTACCTAGATGGGTGACTACTTGTGAATAACAGGTCATCTAATCTTAGATTTCCGGTAGGTTTAATTGATAATGACTCGCAATTGTTAATCGTCAACACGAGTTTATATTCCAATTGGGTTCGTTATATTCACTTACGTGCAAATACCCTTGGAATAAGTATGAATCCAATTCTTCTTCCCCTATATATGGGTTAATTAGTAAAACTTGTTTCACTAAATCCATTTTCATCTCCAAAAAGAAAATTGCCTAAAAACCTAATTAGATTTCGACTTTAAATCATCCATAGAGAACAAACCATGTCGATTCAAATTAATTTGTCATGCTAATAAACAACAAACCTTGTGGCTTAATGTAACATATAACCCAATATAAAAATCTCAAATGTATAGAGTAATTTTACGACTAGGTTAAGCGACTACTACTATCACTAATCCTGTTGACCTCTCTTTACCATCCCTTCTCATTCACGTCCCCTCCCCACTACTAAACTGTGTTTGTCCGATGAGTTTTCTCCATTTACGGAGGAAATTTCGATCCGAAGAGTTGAACATCTTCGTGTTCACGAAATAAATTTATAAACGAAATGGATAATTATTGCAGTCTTCTTATTATCATTATAATGATCTGTAGCCTACATTGAGCTCTCCCTGGATTTATATCCTCCTCGGAATTAACCCTTCCAGTGACAAACTGTTAAATTCAGAGTTGTCCTTCTCCTAGACCAGTTGCCATCCAAGGCTATAGAACCCAGTCTGTTCTGCTCTTTACGCTTGGTTGGAGAGAGAAGAATAGGATTCATACTGTCCCCAAAGTTATTAGCACATAGGTGAATGTAATGGATTCGACTGAATTTCGAACTCGGCTCTTCGATTTATCAAACCAAGCCGCTAACCACATCGGCGGCCTGTGTGTGTATATATATATATATATATATATATATATATATATATATATTCGTTTTGATGCAATTATATTGCACAAGGGTGTAGCCTTTGCCAAATTTTTCTGCTTTCACGCTGTTTCTTTTCACGTTTAACTACGCTTTTTTGTTTATTTATAAAGGTTTTCCAGTACCTTGTTTTGAATCAGAATAATAAAGGGGGATGAAATGACAGGATTTACACACACACACACACACACACACACACACACACACACACACATACACACACACATACACACACACACATATATATATATATATATATATATATATATGAGTGAATACTTTACAATCACCTCACAGACGAAGAAGAGCCTTGGAGCTATAAGAATGCGGTTCTACAGAAGGATGCTGAGAATTCCATGAGCTGAACACCTGAGCAACTTCAAAGTTTTATAAAAAATGGAAACAAAAAGGACACTGATAATTAACACCAGAAAAAGACAGGTGATATTTTTAGATCACATAATGGGGACAGCTTGCTCGGAAAATTTGTTACTCACAGTACAGATTGAAGGCAAGATGAAAAAGTCTGTGCAGTAATGATAAGTGTTCCGTCAATGAATACAAAAAGCTTCCTTATATGGGATCGGTTGATCTCACCGTTATAATTAGAGATCCAATTTTTAACGGTATTAAAGATGAACAAGTTCAAAACAAACCACTAACTTCCTCACATAATAGACGAAGTTATGTTACTATTTTAAAGCTAGATACGTGAGTAACAACAAAGCTTTAGAGAAAGTGAATACAAAAAAGGAGACATGCGTTACATTAGAAAGAAACAGTTGAAATATCTAGGACATATTATGAGGAAAGAAGACTCGAGAAATTTGATACGTATGGGATATATTGATCGTAGAGGGACAGAGGAAAGAGACGTATAACATACCCAAAGAGTATCTGTCTATATTTCCGAGATGAGGTATTATGTACATTATTTATATTATTCGGACTATTGTCTTCATCTTTGTCGCCATATTTATTACATCGCCTGGGCCGTTGTACGCACCAGTCCTCTTCAGGTAGTTGGAATGTCAAACTGAACCCTTTATTTCGCTCAATGGGGTAGACTGTTCTATTCGGCACAGTGGATAAACGTGTTAGTTAGATTCAGTACTGGACGCAAAGAGTGTGAGTTCAATACACGGTGAAGGCAGTGGAGAAATTTCAGAGGGAAATTAACAGGAGATAACTGATAACTGACATCCATTAAACATGGAACGGTGAACTAGAACAGTGTACAACGGCTGAAACGTTGTAATAAATATGGCGACGACGATAAGGACAATAGTCTGAATAATTTAAATAATATACCTAACGAGCGTGTGTAAATGGTTGACGGTACAAGAATTTGGAGAATAACAATGTAGAATGTAGCGTTGGTTCGTGAGTTTGGTGATATCGTACCGGTGAGTTCAACCACTCGGTCAAGCAATGTGTAATTGGATTCATTGGAAACAGTATGAGCAAAACTGAGCAGTACTATGAAATAAGAACTAGACTAGATTTCTCTAGACGTGCGAAGTAGAAGCAGAAGAACGTACTCCGCTTATTTCGGAATTCATTATAGGATACACGAATCAATAAAGGGCTGATGGTTGTGTAAATAATGATACCTAATCATCTCAGGAGATCAGCCAGGATTAGGAGATATGGTAAAAATACAAACATAATAAGGCTACAATGGGGAGATTGTTAGGGAAAGGTATGATCGTTCACGTAATGAAGAGAGACGGTACATTTTATCGGAAATTTTTGTTCTAAAAATACAATCAGACATTCATTTCATTTGTACAGATAAATAAAAAGCAATAAAGGAAGTAGTCACACATGAATGTAATGCTAAAATATTTGCATCTTAGTATTATATCTTTAAGCCCATAAGCAAAGTCTTGACCATATGTCGTCGTTTTCATGACTTTTACGTTTGACGTAGGTCAACTATACATAACATCCGACCTCTCTGTGTCAGCAAATCGAGTTTGATTGAAATCTATCAAGTGCATTCTAAATCTATAGAGAACATATATATGATCATTTGATCATATATATGTTCTCTATATTTTGAATTTGAAGATATTTGAACATGAATTTGGTTTCAGTGTCTCAACATTTCTGGAGTTTGAAAACGCTGTGTTTCTTTTTTACAAAGCGATATGAACGTAGAAATTCGAGACGTCAGGTGGTTTTCTTTGACATTTATTCGTATCCTAAAAGCTATAATAGATTTGATTAAAGCTGCGGGTCGATCTGGGAAAATAGGCAAAAATTCGGCAAATGTCACCTAAGATGTTATTTACATGTCATCTGATTTTTCAACATTTTTATTTTTTTCAGTTACCTTTACTTTACCTGTTCATGGATCTGGAGAAAAAAAAAAAAACAAAACAAAAATTTCTTAACTGAAAGAAAAGTTTATCACACACACACACACACACACACACACACACACACACACACACACACACACACATATATATATATATATATATATATATATATATATAAATAAATTCGTGACAGTGTCGTCTACGGTAAACGCATAAAAATAAACAGAACGAGAAAATTATTTTTTATTTCAAAACACAGGTAAGAGACGACGGGCACACTGTATCTCACGTGTTCCGTACAGTAATACACAAGTCTAATTTTTTTATTCTTTCTTTCATATGATTTCGTAGTTTTTTTTCGGAAAAAAAAAGTTCTCCAATAAATGGAATATTCTATTTCATTAAAAAAAGAATTATTTAAATCGATATGTTACATTATTTTCTAAATATCATATAAATACTGTAAATAAATTTGGAATTTTTTCTACACATATTTTTCCACCATTAGCTTCGTGTCTACTGAAGAAAACCCGATAAAACGAAAATAGAAAAAAAATCTGATACCTTAAAGTAAAGACGGATGTATTACTGACGAAAACAACATGATAAGGAAGAATTTCACAGGAAAAATATAGAATCGAATGAAAACACGTCTAGTCAAATGTGGAGGACAAATCATTATTAATGAAATTACGATTTTTTTAAAAATTTAGGTTCGTAAAGTACAAATGGAAATTTAAATGATATAAGTGCGATAGATAAATTATCGGCTAAACTACGGAAAAATGAAAATAATGGATTCACTAGTTTGTGTGGCATGGTGCAGAATACTGTTGCCAGACATAGCGTGTTCCTGCAGCCACCCTCTTGACACAGAGCAACACTACCTCCTTAAGGCAATTGATGTAGTTCTCCATGTTGATTCTGTGAGAAAATAAATCACTCATGATCACTCCGAACACAATCGACATTTAACTCGTTTTAATTTTTCCCAGTCGTCTGCACTGTGCTCAGATTGACACACAAACATTCTGAAATGTTCGCGTTGGGTCTTCTGGCGCGAATTCCAAGCAGTACAGCTTGCCGTTTCCAAATTTCTGGCGTTGTGAATTGCGTCGTGACGTTCTTTTTCTCACAAGAAAAGCCCGACTGAATCTACTATACTGTGAATTTGACTAAATCAAAAAGAAACAACGTACATGCGTGAAATTAAAAATATAAAATGGTGGCACAATCCATCGCACGCTCTATAGTGCGCGCTAACATTCTAAGCACCAGCAACCATGCTTCCAGTCCGTCTCCATTGAACATACAGTTGCGGCCAAAATGTTCAGAACGGCATTGTTTTCGTCAGAAAAGTAGGTATAAGTTTTTTATCAAAGTTGTTTTATATTCTATAATTTTCACAAACAATAAATACGACATGAATTGTTATTGTCTGAGATTTGGTGTAATTTGAGAGGATAATAAAAAAGTTATGGAGGATTTAGTGATTTACTGCAAAACCCATGGCGGCCAAAATGACGAGAACGGTTGAAAAAATGACAAAATAATCAAAAATGACAGAGAATACTGGAATTATTTAATATTTAGTGTGAAGCTCTTTAGCTTCAATTACACATTGACATCTTCGACTGCATTAGGAAATTAAATTTTCAATTTCTTGCTGGGTGAACTTATTCCATTCTTCCTGAAGGGCATTCCATAATTGCTCGGTTGTTTTAGAGTTTCTGGCTTTCGAACGTTCTCGGAGAATA